GCTCTTTAATCACTGTGCCTTGCACCAAGTAATCTACACCACAGTCAACGCTAACATCTCGTATCCCCCCCACTCTGCCTCTTTATCTTGGCATGACTTGGCTATTTGGCACGCTGAAGATTAGGCCAACTCCGACTGTGCTCCCTGAGACTGGCATTGCGTAGCAGTTCCAGACGGGCAGCTGCTGATACCGACTGAGCCTGTCACTAAGCCGCACTTGTAGGTCTGTATGTCTCTGGCTGCCCCTGGTTACCTGCATCTGTTCCACCTCCTTCTCTGCCCCTTGCACTCTTTGCGGTTGCTCTGACAGCGGCCAGCTTTCCTGCGGCTTAATATCCATTACACCTTAATATTTCGTGCAAGTGTCATACAGAATTCATTTTAACATGAGCGCGCAACCCAATCCCAATCCCAATCCCGATTCCAAAAGACAGCGAACCACAAGTGCACCCAGCACCTGGTCTAGATCCGAGCCTGAGAGGTTTCCCGTCGTATAGGTTCAATTCGATTATAATACCTTTGCTCAAATATTAAATTGCTTAATGACCTCGTTTGCGTATTTGCGACCCCCTTTCAAATGGCCACGTAAGCGCTTGCTCAAAAGGGGGAAAAAACAGCCCCCTTTTCGGCGCGGCGTCTGAGAACGGCGCCGGCTGCTGCCCGGACTTCGATTGGAAGGTGGTTTTGACTGACGTGTCTCTGGCTCGCCAGCTAGCCCGACTATTTAATTACAAACTGATGACGCGCTTACTCTGTAATTTTCATGGGCTATTTAAATAGAAGCCCATTTAAACTGGCATCGATCTCAGGCTTAGGTCGAAAGTTACTTTTGGGGCTGGGGCTGGGGCTGGCCCACTAATTGCATGTGCTTTGTAAGTGGGTCGCCGATTATAGTGAAACTAACCGAACAATCGGCTGAATAATGCAAAAAGTGCAAATTGTCGCAGCGCTATAATTTGTGTCTAATGACTGCGGCTCACAGATATTTAATGGCCGGCATTGAAGGACGACCTGGTTAAACGTCTCAGTTCCAGGTGGTACAATTCATTTGATGTATTGCTTTCGATATCTATTCAAATTCAATTTTAATTACATTCCCATTTGAAGGAGAGTTTCGGCTCCCGTTTCGTATTCCATCATCAGAGCGTGACTTTATCCACCCCAAAAAAAAAAAACTGTTTCGCGGCACAAAAGCCCAAAGGCATTCATAAGTATATATATATATATATATATGCGGGCGATTCGTTGGATTTTTTCCATTCAATATATATATATATATATATATATATATACTCATCTAGATTCGATTGAAAATCTCGTACAGTCGTTGCCGTCTGTCGCGCTGTTTGCATACAATTAGATACAAATCAAAATCAGCTGCGTCTGGCAACGCCTTGCTAGAGCTCTAGTCCCGTTTCCCTTTCCCATTTCCCTTTCCATTCCCATTCGCATTGCCCGTTCCATTCGCTCGTTTGCACCATTCGAACTGTTCGCTTATCGTTTGTCAAACGTTTTGACAAGACAAGAAAAGGGCAGAACCTGAGCAGAGCGTGAAATCGAGTTCTGTTTGCGCTTCTCTACCTCGCCCTGCATTTGTTTGTGCTTCCTCTCTCTCTTCTCTCTGCTCACCCGCTCTTTTTGGCATAACTGTTAAGTTAAAGTTCCTGCTGTTTGCCCAACCACAAAAACAGGCAAAATAAAGTTTAAAATTTCGAATATTTATTTTTTTTCTCTTTAATTATTTTTTGTTTGCATTTGGCATACAGTTTGAACTGAATGCAAAACCTACGCCAGTTTCAACAGCGATTTTGTATCTTTATCTGTGTGTGTGGCACCCTGTTCCCCATACACCCTGTCCTTTAGTTGGCATTGGCGCTTTAAAGAGTAAACATCGCCCAGACTTGCGACGCCGACTGCGTCACTGACTGCAATTGCGACTGCGACGACGACTGCGACTGCGACTGCGACTGCGGATTGTTGTTTGCTCTGCACAGTGCCTGCGTTTTGTTTAAATAAGAAAAATGCGAATTTTTTGCTTTTATTTTGTTGCTTTCTGCTGTTTTGCCGCCCGCCTTTAATGTAAAATTCAAATGTTTACTCGACGCGGGCTTCCTCAACGCGCTGAGGGCAAGGCTGTTGGCCGAGGCAGCGCGTACGGGGGCGGTGCGGGCGGTGGGGTTGGCTTATACAACAATCGGGCTGGCATTTGCATGGCTTGCCTTGTAGTTGTTCTTGTTGTTGTTGTTGTTGTCGTTTCTGCTGTTGTTATAAGAAAGAAATTTAAATAAACCAAAAACATTGTTTGAGTAACGTGTTTAAAATAAACGAAGCCATTCAGAGGCGAACTGTGAATCGCATATGAGTGGATTTATGTGGGTATTCGAGGAGTGTATGTATATATGTGCGCGTGTGTGTGTCTTTATGGGAACACTCATCATTTGGCTGCTTGTGCAGTTTCCAGGCCACTGCCAGTCCCAGTCCCAGTCCCGGTCCCGGTCCCGGTCCCAGTCGTAGTCGCAGACCCCTCAATCATGCTCAATCATGCATCGTGGCGCCGCGAGAGGTTGAAGTTGCGTTTCCTCAAATGAATGGCGACACATTCGTAAGTGGCATGCATTCATTTTGCCACGACAATTGCCACAGGGGCAGCGGCAGAAACAGACGGAGAGCGAGAGAGTAAGTGAGAGATGCCATTCGATTCGATTCCCATTCCCGATTCGCACTAGAAATCAGTTTTTTATTCAGCTCAAATCCTTGGCAAATGTCTTCGAATGCGCACGTTTTTTATGCGAATATTTGCTCAGAAACGATCTCCGCAACCCGCTACCCACAGCCCCGACACATTGCAAATATTTATTGAGCACGATTTTTGAAATATGAACATTTTACAGGAGCCGTCGACATGGAGGGAAGAACGTGAATTGCAAACGGAAGACGTTGCCCCGCAGCGTTTCAGGTTACGCAAGCAATTAGAAGGTACTTATGTCCCGGCGAGGGTTGTCATACCATACATTCATGAAAAGGCCAACACCGAACACGAAAACGAACCCGAACCTGAACCCAAGCCCCGAGGCAGTCAAGAGGAAGTAAGCATCAACTACTTATAGAGAGGGTATGGCACTGGCCAAACAAAGGACCTGGTTCGATACCAGTCGCACAGCCGCTCACAAAACTCGATAAGCAGCTTACGCAAGAAAAGCTTCTGCTGATCGGGCCAAAGAACCCTTTTTGAGTTGGGGAGCGCACATTAGAGAAAAACCTTTTATCTCTTAGCAAATTATGCCCCAACATTTGCAGACTGCAGACCGCCCACAGACGATGGTTCCTAAATAGCCGCAAAGTTCTTGGTAAGCATACCATAGAACTAGTCCTCATCAACCTAAAGCCCTGAATAGCTAAAATTCCCGTTTTTGCAAGGGTATTAAATCTTCGGCGTGCCGAAGATAGCCCTTAATTGTCGCATAAACAGTTTTTATTTTATATACGTATTTTTAATCTTTTTATGTTCAAGAACTTCAAAATCTTCAAACTCCAACTTTACTTGCCTGAGATATAGTGCTCTTAACACAAATAGAGTGGGAAATAAAATAAAATAAGCAACAGCTATAAGTTATTCATATATGTATATTTTTTAAGAGCAATAAACAGAAAAAGTACAATAATTAAGCCACATATATGTAAATATAAAAAAAGAGAAGTAAAACCAGTAAAAGGTTCTAGTCTGGAGCTTCCGACTAGGGTATACCCTGAACCCTCTTCTTCCAACATCAAATATATATATATATATATATTTCATATATATTATATATATATTTCAAGCTGTATGTCAAGTTTGGTGACTTTAGCTCTTATTATTTACCAAAATTGCACAAAAAACAGGATATCGATATCGGTTCTTATCAATTGCTTGGAAACAGAGGAAGTTATCGATTATCGGAAACAAACTCGATCTGCGCGGGAACTAGGAGCACCTACATCTAAAATTTCAAGTCTCTAGCTTTTATAGGTTCTGAGATCCTTGCGTTCATACATACGGACGAACGGACGGACAGACAGACGGACATGGGTTCTGGGTTCAGGGTATAAAAAGAGAAGTAAATAAATATATCAATTTAAAACCCCAACTCCTGTCTTTCTTGGATATTTCAAGGGATATTTCGTAGAAAATCTAGAAATTCAATTTCAAAATTTAACGGTCTCCTAATTTCACTAGGCTGGGTGGTGCGATTTTACCATAAATTCAAGAGAAATACCAGGCGAACAGATATGCACGGAAGACAGACAAGCGATTTTTAATTGAATATTTTAACCTACTGTTAACTTACATGTCTGCTACATCGATTGTTAAGTCGTCTGTTAAGGAGCAATTGCCAAATTCAGCTAAGGTACCAGGAGAACAGAAATGCACAGAAGGTCACTAATATTGTTTCCAATGAAACATTGTGTTGCATACCCGCAAGGCGCGAAAATGTTATTCTGCTGTTGACTAACATTAATGTTAGCTAGGGAGCTGTTAAGCAGCAATGCTGCTAAAAAATCTTAAAACTTGAATATCTCTGCTATTTTTCGCCCGATTTCGAAGTGATTTATCTTTTTCAACTCGTACGGACCAGAACCTTTAATTCGAATTCAAAAATACTGGAAAATATCTAAAATTGATTACAAATGTAGAAAAACACATTTTTCAAATATTTTCATTTAATTATTTTTCTCCATATTTTTACAATTTTTGTCTTCTACTTAAGAAACATAATTTATTTCTTTAACATCTTCAAAATTACTGGATCTGTTAGTTCTAAGTTTTAATACTTATTTGTGTATTTCTATTTACATCCTGAATTTCTTTACTTCTATACTATAACTTATTTCTATATTGCTTAGAATTAAAGTGACTAATGCAGTTATTAATTAATTTTACTTAAAATACTTACAATTATTTTTTATTTTTAATTCTTCTATTATTTTCGCTAAAAATGCCTGTGACACAAATGGGAGTCATAATTGTTTTGTAAACTTTCATTAATTTCTAACATTTTTTGCAATATTAACAACACAAATGGTTTTTAAATTAATTTTTTAAGTTTTATATACAGTAATCGGATTTCTTTAAATAGTTTCTTATATATATACACATACCCCGGAGCTGCACGGTCCAGTATTTCTATTTGCTCTTATTACCTCGATGTTTACGTATTTTTATATTCTGTATTCATTTCTGATTTTCCACAGATTTTTCGTCGTAAAGCTTCATAATTCTCAGAGCGGAAATTAAAGTTTCATGCATGCAACTCTGAAGATACACTTTAATCCCAGGAGGATAGATTTTCTGAAAAGATTTAGAAAATAATAATTTAATAATATAACTCAATAGTTTTTTTTCCACTCTTGCCGGCTTAACAAGGGTAAGGTTTGTGGACTGTCAGTAAGACACTCAGCTATATAGACTATGTTTTCTTACTCTAATGGACTTCCTATGTCTTTAGAGGATATGTGTGTAGTTTTGTAACGGTTACTAATGAAAATTTCCACATGCAAGCCGCGCATAAAACGCCCCTTAAAAACACCGCGAGGTCTATCTCTGAAATTGGCTGGCTTGCCGGCGTTTCGTGCGTGTCGGATATAATATATGTGGACGGACGATGGGATGGGGTGCGGCCCCACCAAATGCATTTAATAAAATAAAAAATACTGATAATCACGAAATTTATAGGCGTATGCCAACACATCAAAGTCTATGGTCGCGGGGCAGGTCTCTCATGTAATTTAGCGGATGCTTATCAAAATGTAAAATCAACTTTCAATTCTAGTTGTTGAAGTCGTGGCTGGGGCTACGGGCAGGGGGCTGGGTCTGGGGCTGATGGGAGGGGGAACCGGGGGCCACAGACAAGAAATCAGAAACATGAAACGTGAGCAATAGGCAAACAAGCCAACGAGTGATATTTTGTGTACTCCATGTGCTCCATGTACTGCGTCGTGTTGTACTCCGAGTACTCTGAGTACATGGCAATAATTCTGATTATGAGAAATCGATAAAAATCAATTTGCAATTTGTAGACAGCGCGGCCGCACCCAGCAGTGCCCGCCCGAGGAATGCAAACAAACCAACACTCGATTAATCGATATTTTAAGCGCCTCGCAACTTTTAATTACATGTGCCTCAAATTAAACGCAATTATTTGTAACTAAATGCATGAAAAATTATACTCCCTGATTGTGCCACTTTAGGTGGGCTACGTGCTGTTGCAGGGGGGGGGGGGGGGGTTGCAAGTTGGACTTTTAGCCGCTTAGTCGCTATAATTAGAGGGCGTGCGAATGCCGGCACCTGCGCTGATGTGGCTTTTGTCGAAGAACAAAACAACAACAAAAATCGATTTAAAAATGTCAAAGTCTCTCCCTCTCTCTCTCGCTCTCTCTGTGTATCTCCCTCGCTTGCTTTTGCCACTAATGAATGCTGTGCAACAGGCCGTATGACGAGGGAAGTGCTGCGAAGTGCCTCCAAAGGCGTGCCAGAACCTGCCCCTGCTCCTCCTCACACTCCAACAAGCAATTTGTGTATTTTAATAGACAACATTAAATTCAGTGGGAACGGTTAGGCGGGAGTTGAGTGACAAGAGTCTGGCAAACGACCGGAGAGCAAAGCAACCGTCAATCTTCTAATGCTTCGAGAATGTTTTCAAATTTAATTGAATGACGCTATGGTGCACGCTGCACGTTCCCCGATCCGCAGTCAACTTGCAACTTCTGCCGTCAACTGCGAAAACTTTTGCACAAACATTTGGCCAAAAGTCCGATCGGGCCGTAAATATTTCAGCGCAGCTCTTGACCCATTTGTTTGCGCTCATGTTTGTTTGGCTTTCGGGTCGCCAAGGGGAATAAACAGGAAAAGTGCCAGAGCCATAAAAAGCGAAGCACAACAAGAGCCAAACAACTTACCAATACTCTATTTGTAGTTTAAAACCAATCGATCTGAATAATTGCCTATACCACCTCCAACAGAATCGGGCGTGGTCAATAAATTTCTACACATATATCTAAAGTGGGTATTCCGAGTTTTTATTGAATATATGAAGCTTTTAGACATAACAGTACAAGCCCAATATACCCCTTTTTCGTTTTGAAAACAGGGTATTCAAAAAAAAAATTGTTCAATTGGGAGCTTGACATTTGATCGCATTGCCGTCCGCCCATACAAAGTTGTCTGCGCCCGCGGCGGCTTCTCTTACATTTTCTGTTTGTGTACTTTGAAAACAACGCGAATAATAATAAACCAACGGCAAAAATTATGATGAGGGTCGGCCAGAGATATGCCAGCAAGGGATATCGCAGGACGTAGCCAACTAAATGGAAATTCAAGCATAGACCGCGTGACAGACCAGTCTCTTCAGCTGCAAGCCGGCTCGAACCCCATCTCATTCATTTAGTGCCAGACAAATGGTAAATGGTAAAAATGAAATAAAATTTCTAACTAAAATCTTGGCTCTTATATGCGGAAGTCCAAGTTCACGCGAGGTTCGAATCCAGCTCTGATAAATATTTTTTTGTTTAGCAGCCACATTATGTCTTTTATATCACAATCAGATTCAACTCGCTGCTAAAATTTTAATTTTACGATTCAATTTGCAACGCTTTCCCAGTAAACATTGCCTCGTAGCTTAGTCAACAATTTATCAGTTTTTTTTACTCGCTCAGCTTTGATTTTGGCTTGGATTGAGCTGGTTTTTTGTGCTCGCCAAATATGGCATAGATCTCCATTTGTGAGTGTGTGAGTGTGTGTGAGTGTCTGTAGTCACATCAATCACTGCCTGAGGCTGAGGCCGACTGACAAGGCACCCAAATACATCGGTATACGGATGATATACACCATATTGTATGTATACGGTAGATAGAGAGAGAGGAGAGCGGAGAGTGGATCATGGAGAGCGGCTGATACGATATAATCTTGAGTAAGTCGCCGACTTATCGCATATGTGCATTACATTAAACTTAATTAGTATTTTCGAAAGAAAAAAATAAAAATAATAGCTGCATGCTCGAAGGAGAGGCGGGTCGCGGGTCGCCGGTTCGTCGGTTCGAGGCCGGTTCGAGTCTGTGGGAATACGGCGTGGACTGCGTCTGATTAATGGAGCGTTTTGTTCACAATTTTTATGAATTTATTGCGGCACGTACAATAAATAACGCAAAATAATAAATTGTAAATTATGCAAACAACATGAAAAGTTTCAAATAATGAACGGAAGGTCGGTCGGTCGCTCGTCGGCGACTCTTTCAGAATTTATGGCCCATTGGTTATTCTCATTCATGGCAAAGAAATTTGCAAACCCGATTCACTTGAAACGCGCTCCATCAGCTCAGACAATTGCACAAAACCCGAATTCGAGTTGTTTGTTCAGTGTTTTATTTACTTAATTACAGCTGGGAATGGAAATGCAAATGGGAATGGGAATGGGAATTGCAATTGAAGTTCTAATGAAAATTATGCGACTGCTTTGAATTCGAGTCAACTTGAATCAACCCGAGTCGAGTCGAGTCGGGTCGAGTGGCCATTGAAGCGAATTTCGTTTGAATTATTGCAACGCCTTTTTGCACTGCATTCGGAGTAATGAGTTTTATTTTTATATTTATTTTTTTATTTGATTACATTAACGTGTCAAGTGTTGCTTGTCTGAGGAGCGGGCGGACGTGAGTGCCAAGTGAGTCACAGTCACACTCAAACTGAGCGTCCGAATCAGCAATTAATTTGGAAAGTCGCGTAGAGCTCTTGATGCGGCTCTGGATATGAATTTTAATTGGAAATCAACTAGGCCGAAGATGCCACAAGACATAACTCGCAAAAAACTGCATGCCAAAAAATTGCAAGCTGCTTGCAAAATGTTAACATGAGGATCCAGCTGTTAAATGTATCTGGTATTAAAAATGAGCTCTTGGTGTACAATGTGCGATTCTATTATTGAAAAGCATTTTAAAAATAAATAGACAAGGCTAAATATCTACATACAAAATACATGCCACACAATAACAAGCTCCTTGCTAAATGTTAACATGGGGATGCACCTGCTAAATGTATATGGTGTTAATAAGGATCTCCTCAAGTTGCAAGTACTGGAACGCAGTTTAAATATAAATATTTTGGGCCAAATATATACAAAAAACATGCCACACAATTACAATCTGCTTGCAAAATATTAACATGAGGATGCGCCTGTTAAATATTTTTCTATTTAAAATGAGCCGAAACTTATCGCGTCCACTTTTACTTTCCCCTGTCGTTGAGGTTACCCTTGATCTGATATAGCACTCCAGTGTATTTATGATCTGGCCGGGTCAAAACAGATCTTGCAGCACTTTATCTGGCGCTGGGGCTTGACTTGGCTGCCAGCAGTCGCTCAAGATTGATGGTTAGGCCAACACACACTTTCTGGCTGGCCGAGGGCTCCTTTCTATCCGACAGATTGAACATTTGGCAATGTAGCGGAAGACTAACCTGCGGCCCGAGTGGCAACATTTTAAACGCTTTAATGCCAACACTTAGCTGCTGCCCCGCCCACTTCACCGCCTGATGAGCCCCTTCAGCAGACAATGGCTCATTTGCAGACGCATCGGCAACGAAAAAAACAATTTTACAGACCCGCTAATATGCATTGTACATTGTACTACGGTTGAAGCGGTCGTATACCACATACACATATTTTTTATATGGGGGCCCATTTCAGCGCACAATGTGGGGCAGGCAATGCGGTCTGCTTTCGGTTGCGCGGTGCACTCAGCGAAAAATCCGAGTTCTAATATTTAAGTTTCACTGGCATGGAATTCAAAATCTCAGTAGATTTCGCTCTTGAAAAAGAACACATATAAGTTACATATTTGTAACTATACCAACTTCCCTCAATCATTCGCTTGGCTAGAGATCAGAAGGTACTGATCGATTCCAGCGCAAAATAAAACAAATAAAATAAAGAAACTGCCCAAAAGAAAAACAAATATTGCAAATAGTAAATTCACAATCTGATTTGCAGGATTCAGATATTTAGTATTCTGTATAAATATTGCAGTGGATAATATAAAATTCACATAACTGGATAAAACCGATCAAGAAATTCAATTTGAATCTCAATGTAACAAAGTAGGAATAGTCTTGAATAAAGTATGTTTTTGGGCAGTCGCTTGATTTAAGTGCAAATTGTTAATTTCCGACTAAAGCTGTGAAAATGTGATTTACAATTTTCTGAACTTGTTTAAATGAAGTCTTGAATTGAAGTATTTTTGAAAGTTCTTGCAAAAAAAGTCAATTTCATTTTCTAAGATTAGGCATTGCATATCGCACTAAAG